TACAGAGATGAAGTTCAATACTTATTTTAACTTTCATGTTAACTTTACTTTTATTCATATGCATTTGTTTTTTTTTAATTTCAATCAAAATATTTACTGAGAATTTCTTTCCTAATTATATAATAAACATAGAGCTTAATTTATGACCAAGTGGCAAAATGGTGAAAAGATTGATTGTAAAACAAACTAATTAGTGTTTTAAAACAATGTTTAATTATCTATTATTTAATAATGTGATCTTTTGACAACAATGGAACACTTTTACAGTAATGCTTTTCAAATATCAATCTTTTCATGCAGGAAAATGTATAAAATAAAATGATATAAAACAAAAGAGAACTCAATCTGATATACAGTGTTGTGTTCTTCATTTAGAATTGTAATTTGGTCATGGTAGTATTTATACCACATTATTTTTTTCTTTTCAAGTTCTACCTAGGTATGAAAAATAAATAGAAAATAGAAAATCAATATTCAAATGATTATGTTCTTAGTTAATCAAAAAATCTTAATTTCTGCTTTAGTTTAATCTCAAACAATCTGCGAAAGATATATAGCATGTATAGTATGTGAAAAAAGTAATGTCATGTAATGCAAAAGAGAGACGAAAGATACCAGAGGGACAGTCAAACTCATAGATCGAAAACAAACTGACAACGCCATGGCCAAAAATAAAAAGACAAACAGACAAATAATAGTACAGATGACACAACATAGAAAACTAAAGACTAAGCAACACGAACCCCACCAAAAACTGGGGGTGATCTCAGGTGCTCCGGAAGGGTAAGCAGATCCTGCTCCACATGTGGCACCCGTCGTGTTGCTTATGTTATTACAAATCCGGTAAATAGTCTAATTCGGTAGGTCACATTAGTGATAAGGGAAGGGTATTGTAGTTACGATATAAGGAACATATCCGATATCATCTGTAACGGTTATTCCATAATGGTCAACCAACTCGTGATGGCGTCCGTAAAATTTACGAAGGGATGATTTCAACTTCACTATTTGGAGCTCTTGGTTTAATAGCTTCCTTGTGAGCAGCAATCCTCTATCAAGGAAATCATGATAGGAAATACAAGCCCGGGAATATCGTATCAATTGGGAGATATATACTCCGTTTGCAGGCGCTGCTGGAATGTTGCTACATAGAAATGGAAAGTTCACAATTGGGAAGCTGAAGTCATCTCTTTTGTCGTAAAGTTTTGTTTTCAACCGACCCTCATTGTCAATTTCTAGATGTAAGTCAAGATATGAGGCAGACTTAACTGTATCTGTAGTATCCTTTATCTGTAGTTCGATGGGATAGATTCGTTCAACATAGTCACCAAATTTTGAATTATTTAGTGAGAGAACATCATCTTTATAGCGGAACGTAAAGTTAAAGGATATTGCTAACTTCTTATCTTTCTTTCTAAGAAGTTCCTGTATGAAGTCAGCCTCATAATAATAAAGAAACAAGTCGGCAAGAAGAGGGGCACAATTGGTTCCCATTGGAATTCCGACAGTCTGTTGAAAAACACGTCCTCCAAACTTAACAAGTATGTTGTCAATCAAGAAATCAAGCATCTTGATAATGTCAGTTTCAGAGAATTTTTTGTTTGAATCAGAGTGATTCTTTACAAAGTAGGATTTATCCCTCCCCAAGACAAGATACTTGTATCTACGTTCGCCATTCTTTTTAATGAAACAAAGTAATACCAACTCTTTCAATTTGTCTTTTAGTTTGGAATGGGGAATACTTGTGTAAAGTGTAGAAAAGTCAAATGTTTTAATACTATTGCAAGATGAGAGAGTCTTAGATTGTATGTACTCTAAAAGATCTTTGGAATTTTTTAGTATCCAAATCTGATTCACGCCACCTCTAGAATAGGCAGTTTCACAATAACTTTGGAGCCCGTCTTTGATTGCTGATAAAAATAGATGTTAATAATTTAGAAAGAGGTTTCGTGGAGCACTCGGAAGACCCAGAAATATACCGTTGTTTGTAAGGACACTTATGTAGTTTAGGCAGGGTTTAAGCTAGGATTTTGAGGGCTTTAGTCACTTTTGCGCGGGATGAAAATCAACCTTATTTTGAGTAGCAGCAAGGGACCTAGGATGTATATTACTATCTATACATCTTTGTCAGACTTTGAAGGACTTAGGCATACTAGGCAGTTACTGCATGATTTGACTGATGTGGCACTTTAATACGAAGATTAGGATATAAGATCTAGAAATCTAGTTCACAAATTCACTTCAGTTAGTTTCAGGGTACATTCCTAAAGTTGGGATCCATTTTTTTTAAACCAGGAATCACAGCATAAATGAACTTGTAAGGACTATTTCACTGCATTATTCATACTCATTATCCTTAAAAACGTTTTAAAGCGATATTTAGAATTAATTCTATAAAGTTGGAACCAAGGATTTGTACAAATCCTTATTGATACAATTCTAATGACTTTAAATTGTAAATTTATCATGAATAGATCACGTTTACTTTCGATTTCCAAATGAAATGAAAACGGGAAGTGACAAGTGGATAATAAATTCAGAATGAATCCGGATTCATCTACGGATTGGTTCGTGTTTATAAAAGGCAGGAAATTATCATTTTTTAAATTAAATTTGCTAAATAAGAACTATATTTGTCTCTCTCGTTTAGTTTGATACTTAATTATTTCGTATTTTACGTTTAAGTGTCTTTAAATTCATAAGAATACTTTCGCGCATGCGCAGTTCTTCGTAAAGGAAGCACCTGTTTGACTCGTGAAACATTTCTGAATCGGAATGGTCGAAAGTTTTTGATTAAAAGTTATATCAAATATGACGAAAATACGTTCATTTGACGAAACGACGACAAGCGAACTGCAAATTGTGATCGTTTTGAGAAATATTGAAATTAAAATGCGAACTGTCCGAGGGAAAACTCAAATGACGAAACTTCGACAAACGAACTGCAAATAATTGTGCACGTTTGATAAATATTGAAATTAAAATGCCGACTAACTGCTTTTACTGGGGAAAATAATTATGATGATCAATTATGAGGTTGATAAATAATTAACGGATTAGTGACCCATCCGATGGCGATAAGCGGATTATCTGTAATCACAACTTATAACACCTGTTGTAAATGTTAATTAGCTGAGAGTCATAAACTTGTCAGAAACAATAAGACAGGTAGAATTATAGTATTTTCATGCGAAAATATTTTTACTCTTTCCAAATTTTAGTGACGAAATTGATTTGGAATACTTTCGTCATTTTGAAAACCGTTTCGTAAATGACGAAAATGACGAGCGCTAGCAAAATCACTGAGTTTAGGTATCCAATACAGTGATGGAAGATCCAGTTCTTCATCTTTGGTTGAAATTCCAAAGGAACATAGAACAGACCTATGATTATCCAGGATTTCCTCTTTGGTAAGTGTTGTGAGTGTATATGTTGAGTTTCCAAATGAATTGTCAATACCTAATTCATTTATCAAGCAGTTTATGTGATGATATTTACACACAAAAACGATGTTGTTTGGGGCTTTATCTGCGGGGACAACAACATATCTGTCATGGAGGTAGGACAAGTGTTTTGCAACATTTGGGTCTTTAAAAATTGACGTAACGTGGGTATTGATAGACCCATTTAGTTTTTTAATTCGGATTTGTATCAACGACCTCACAGCCTTAATCCATTCGGAGAAGAGTATCTACGTCTTCTTTCTCGCGTTTAGCCCATTGCCTGGCATAATCCTCGACTGAATCCATCAGTATTTTGAAGTTGTATTTCCAATTGATGGATTTAGGCTCACGATATTTCGGACCTTTGGATAACAAATTTCGCAGGGAAGTGTTATTGACAATGTTGAGGTCTCCGGTAATAACGTGGCCAGCCGAATTATATGTGAATTGGGATCTAGCACAGGTGCAATCAGGAGGTTTAGACTTGAAGTCGTCAATGTTGAGATCCTGCAAAACGTGTTTGTAATTGCAAAATATTAGTTGCAATTGGTTTGGTATAGGTAAAAGAAATTATTGGTACAGACTGATCTTTAAAATAAGGAGGTATTTTCGACTGAACTAATTTATGATGAAGGATATTGCCTAAGTTGACGCCATCGAGACCTTTGTTGGCAAAGGAAAATTTAAGAAAAGATCTTTTCTCTTTTTCATCTTTTCCAATGCGAACTGGTTTGAAAAGTCTGTGACTTGCAATATCCGAAATGATAGATGTAAGTTTGTATTGGTTTGAATGAGGGTTTGTAACAGTGGTTTCCAAACATATATTGGACAGAGAATGAAGTTTTGAAAGGGGTAATGAATAAAGTTTCGTGCGAATGTGATGAATACCTAACGACTTTTGTATAAATGGCAGCAAGTCATTAATAGAGACATCATGCAAAGTAGGTGATGTATAATGACGATGACCATGACTGCGTCTACGTCGAGGAGTAGAGTTGAAAATATCCATCACATTCACCGAGCTATAGGAAGGACTAGATAGAATACCTATACCATCAATTTTGTCATTGCAACCATATGGTGTCGCAGTTCCCAATTGTCGAATCCAGTAGTCCTCAATGTAATGCATGAAATTACACAACATTTTGCATTACAATTACAAATTTCCATTACCTAATGCCTAGTGTAGATCTGATAATACTAAATACATTTTTATCTAAACATTTCCCTACAAAGTCAAATCTTCAGTTTTCTCAGTATGTTTAACTGTTTTGCAACACTGGTAATCAAATTGTCAATATGGCTATTCCACAGAGCAGCAGAGCAAAACGTTAACCCAAGATGTTTGTGGCATTTTGTAACAGGAATTTCTTTTTTTATTTGAGGATAATTGAAGAGCTGGTGTGTCATTATTTGAAGAAAAAAATCTTTGTTTTTGTTTTGTCTGGATTAAAAAACATCGGTTAGATAATTAAGTGTCGATAAAGGCAAACAAGACAAAGATAAATGAAAAATAAGCATAATAACATAATGACACAAAAATTATAAAATAAATACCTCAAATTTAACTCACAAGAATTGTAACTCGTCAATGTCTTCCTGTGAAGTGATGTGCTTTTCAATTACGTTCTACTTTTTTAAACTGAAGAAGGAAGTATTGATTTATAGATCCGGTTACTATATAAAAGATAAAATTTCACACCAAAACCTGTCCCAACTTGTTCAAAGTTGATTGAAGTGCATTAAATATTTGTCATACGTGTTTGCTGGTAATAGAGTAACCTTCTCAAAAGAGCCCGTGTCGCTCACCTGTGCATCTTCAACAATGCCATCTTTCCAACATTGAAAACAAAACTATGATTTGTGACTAAAATCTCTTTTATATTGAATTATCTTATATTGCTCATCGCTTTTTTTATGTTTTGCAGTGTCTTTCATATATATTGTATATATATAATTCGTCTAAATATCAGTCCAACAATGTTAGATCTGTAAATTTGCGGAAGCAAATTTCTTGTTCTTCCCTTGCCGGGATTCGAACTCATGCTACTGAGAAATCGTGGCACCAAATCGCCTTGCACTATGCCCGACGCGCTAGACCACTCGACCACCTAGGTTCTTCTATAAGGTCGAACAACGGATGTTCTTAAACCCTGCTGACTGCCATTGGCGATTGCCAAATAAACGGATCACCAGATGTAACAAAATGGATCTTAATCATTAATTTAATACCAAACAGAAAACAATAAACTTGCAGAAAAGATGGTATACCGCAAAAAAAGGTGCACAAATTAGTACACCATATCCTGATTTCGACTATAAATGTCTCTTCAGTGATGTTAAGAATCTCAACAGTATTTGGAAGTCCATATAATTTAAATCAATTGAGGATAGACTATTGAATTTTGAAGAGTCAAAATAGGATGAACGGATCGTATAAACCCGAAGTCAAATATAATACAAGCCCAAACGAAAAAGAATAAACAAGTCTAAATTGAAAAACAACGTTCAAACCTATATATATGATTGCGTTGGATAAAAACCGCAATTTTTATACGTGTGCATGCAAAACAAATTTCTTGGTAGAGGGGTCTAAATACAGCACAAACAACATTTTCAAAAAGACCAAAAAAGTGAAAAAGTATATTTTAACAAAACGCATTTGACATATATACATGTATCATAGTTTTAGACCAAAACTCAAAAATGTGTAAAAATGGTCATTCAAGAACAAAAACTCCTATAAGAAAAGAGGGACGAAAGATACCAGAGGGACAGTCAAACTCATAGATCGAAAACAAACTGACAACGTCATGGCCAAAAATAAAAAGACAAACAGACAAATAATAGTACAGATGACACAACATAGAAAACTAAAGACTAAGCAACACGAACCCCACCAAAAACTGGGGGTGATCTCAGGTACTCCGGAAGGGTAAGCAGATCCTGCTCCACATGTGGCACCCATCGAGTTGCTTATGTAATTACAAATCCGGTAAATAGTCTAATTCGGTAAGTCACATTCGTGAAAAGGGAAGGGTATTGTAGTTACGACATAAGGAACATATCCGATATCATCTGTGAAACGGTTATTCCATAACGGTCAACCAACTCGTGATGGCGTCCGTAAAATTTACGAAGGGATGACTTCAACTTCACCATTTGGAACTCTTGGTTTAATAGCTTCCTTGTGAGCAGCAATCCTCTATCAAGGAAATCATGATAGGAAACACAAGCCCGGGAATATCGTATCAATTGGGAGATATATACTCCGTATGCAGGCGCTGCTGGAATGTTGCTACATAGAAATGGAAAGTTCACAATTGGGAAGCTGAAATCATCTCTTTTGTCGTAAAGTTTTGTTTTCAACCGACCCTCATTGAAGAGTCACCAAGCAAGGGTAGTAACAACTCGACTCCGTTCGTCCGAAAAACCTTGGGTAGATCAATTTTGTCAAAGTGTTCATAGAATCAATGAAATGGATTGATAAATGTTGAGTTGCAGCGTATACGCAATTTTTAGATTTGTCATGCATGCACGGTTACTTTTTGTTTATAGATCGTTTGAAATTTTACAACACTCATTGAATACGGAAATTTTTTGTCAAACTTTTCTTCTATGTAAACGAATAAGTGTATAATTATATCACTACTCTAAAAGTGGCGCTACATTGGATTCAACTTGTCCGTCCGTCCATCAGTTCATCCAACACATATTTCCGTCACCATTTTTCCAGGTTCTATACTGAACGAAATGACTCATATTCGGTCTGCAGGTTAGCAGTGATGAGTTGTAGCGCGTGAAAACTTTTCGGATCTGTCGGACACCAATTACCTGTTTGCCGTTTCTTTAATTTTTTCAAGGCGTTGAATGAACTTATAATTTTTCGTTACACCTTCCTCAAAACTACAAAATAGAATGGATATGTTAGACATCTATTTCCTGTCTTACGATACTTTCAGCTTTGGGTGAGGTAATTCTTATCACTACAAAACGTGCATTCTTGTTTGATCTTGAGCTTAGTAATTTCAACATATGTCGTGCAGTGCAGCTACTTCTTGTTTGCTGATAGTTTGACATTCAACAAAACTTATTGTACACGGAAAAATTTCGTCAATCTTTTCTTGTGTCGTCTTCTATGGACGCAAATAGTTTTTATTTTATTTTATTGTATACATCAACCTTGTCCGTCACACTTTTTTCAAGAACTACTACACAACATTAGTTTGAATTTGGTCAACAGATAATAAAAGTGATACGTTGTAACATACGTACGCCTTTTTGATCTGTTGGATACCAACATCATGTTTTTTTCGATATTTGCAACTACGAGTGTGGTATGCGTAAAAGACAATAATTGCATAGGTTCTAGTTTACCAATTATTATACACGTAAAAGCAAGCGACGTTTTGCGCGGTGAATACACTTTTTTGTCATTATTTTTTATTTACAAACCGATTCTTATAGAAAAACCCAACTAAAAATCTATCAATAAGAAATAATTGTATAATATTTTATGTCTCTGACAGTAATTACGAAAACAAATAAGAACACACTCGTCGCATTTTATCATTTCAATTAGATATAGCATACGATGAGGACATATTCATAAGACTGCAGCGGCGGATCTACACATTTTTCAGGGGGTGTCACCAATACTTACTTTGAAAATGTTCCATTTTGTTTATTTAGTATTTAGTTGACGAAGGTATTATCAACGCAAATGGTAATCCAGAGTTTACAAAAATGATTCCTCACTGAACGTTAAAAATATACAATACAATACAAATAGTTTATTTATGTCTTTTCATTAATATTACAAAACATAATCGGTACAAGGACATCACATTTACTAAATTTTATCATTGATACAAGGACATCATTCGTAAATATAAATCAACATGCAGACATCTCATATGTTCAGGTATTTAACATCCAATCTTTTTTGTAATATTCTTAATGTCGGCATTCACCTCAAAAGCTAACCAAACCTTTGAACAGACTTATTCAGAAGGGATATAGTTACGATAATGTTGTCCGGTAATTAAGGATTGCATATGTTGGTATTAATATTGGTTCACTCATAGGGTCTTTGCATCGGAAATAAAAACATTTATTCCAAAACCAGTTGTCGGCATCATACGGGTTATGTTCTTCTCATATATTTTATGATGGTATGATTCTAAACCCCTAACGGGAGGGATTGTGCTTAATTTTCATTCGATGAAGACATAATCTTTCAATCAGTTGATGTCTGGAGCTGGCATGTCAGTAACTGCTTGTAGTGCTTTGTTAATTTGTGTATCATTGTCATTTTGCTTATTTTCTTTTGTTATCTATTATGACATCGGACTCAGACTTCTTTTAAACTGAATTTTACTGTGCGTATTGTTATGTGTTTCTTTATTTTACATTGGCTAGAGGTATAAGGGGATGGTTGAGATCTCACAAAACATGTTTAACCCCGTCGCATTTTTGCGCCTATCCCAAGTCAGGAGCCTCAGGTCTTTGTTAGTCTTGTATGTTTTTTAATTTTAGTTCATTAATATGTTTTGGAGTTTAGTATGACGTCCATTTTCACTGAACTAGTACACATTTTTATTTAGGGGCCAGTTGATGCCCACCTCCGGTTGCGGGATTTTCTCGCTGTGTTGAAGACCCATTGGTGGCCTTCGGCTGCTTATCTGTTCTTTGGTCGGGTTGTTGTCTCTTTGACATATTCCCCATTTCCATTCTCAATTTTATAATGTTAACGTAATACACGAATAAATAAAATAGTATAAAATAATTAATGCCATTCGGGATTTAAAGAATTATAATAATAAATATTAATGTACAGACAAATTTTAAAATTTCTTAAAAAAAATATATACAGTTAAGACAAGTTTAACGATATAACAAAGTTTAACTATATAAAAAACGACGTCTTCGTTTTAAATAAATTTGCAGATTTTGGCACTATCAAAAATAATACTATCACATGCAGTCACTGGCTAGAACAATATACATTTTTCCAGATTAAAAAAATTTAAAAAGTTTTAATGTTCTAACAAAATAATTTCAAAAAGTTCATTTCGCAGGTCATCGTACAATGGACACTTTAACAAGACATGTTACTCAGTTTCAATCATAAATGTTTTACAAGTCTCGCAAGTCTGTTGTTGCTCAGGTATCCTCTCAAAACATCCAGTCTCTATGCGGATCGTTGCAACACTATGCGATCGAACTATAACTTTGTGCATGTATTCCTCGGTGTGTAATGACGTTTTTAAGGTTCCATAGGTTCCATGATTACAATCGGTTACATTTTCTGGTTTCTATATATATCAAAGGTACCAGGCTTATAATTTGATACGCCAGACGCGCGTTTCGTTTCCATAATACCGGTGTCACACATTAGCGTATAGCACCGACGTACGCCGAGCGTGATCAAAAACCATGTACATTGCCAATACGCTAGTAATTTTGGACGCATTCAACTTGTCAATCATATCTGTATCATGTGTACAACGACCTTTAAGCGTGTTTTGGGCGTACGAGAAGCGTACATAAGCGTTTATCGGGCGTTCAAGTAACGTATGTTGGCGTATGTCTTGCGTTTGTCTAACGTAGATGAAATGCA